AGAGGAAGGTGGATTGATTCAGTGATTGGGATAATTGGGATGGGAGTGTCAGAGACAGTGCGATTGGCACAGGACAGAGTGGAGTTTAGGGCTGTTGTATATAGGGTCGCTATGAGTCGCAGGCGACTCGATGGCACATAACAACAACAACAACATATGTAAACTGGGTATTTTTTTAAAAAAATGCATTAAGTCCTGTAACTTTAGCTAAGAAAAGATATGGTAAGTAGATTAACATCTAACCCAAATCTAAAAATTCTAATGACCACTTGCAGGAGGGGAGGCAGTTTTTTAGAAGGTTCTCTCTGCCCTCCCATATCTTCAATAAAATGCTATGGATACTGCAATCCATCTGTCTTATTGGCAATTGACTACAAAAAGAAGCCCTTATGTTCAGTAACGCAAGTCACTTAAGGTCTGCAGGGATGACGGTACCTTGGACAATCTGCCCTCCCTCACCCACTGACCTACGTCTCCATGGAGTCAGGAGGAGTTATTCCTGACTGATACGCACCCACAAATAAACAGCAACAATGAGCAGCTCTCAACCTACTTCCTGCCCAGCACACAGGAAGAGTGCTAACCTTCTGATGGTGCCATGAAGACGTCCAATAGAGCTGGGAGTCTCACTGGCAAGCTCTTCAGTAATTTTACCTACAGTCAGTGTACTCTCTGGTCATAGTCAGAGAGGCAGGAAACAAGGAGAGGGTTCCTGGGCAGGCTGGCCTCTGAGACTCACCTGCTTATTATCAGTTTTCTGGGTGAGCTGTTTGGTTAGTAGGACCACTTTCTCTATTTCCCTTTCTCTCTGTTTCATCTGTGTGCTTGCTCTCGTGTGCGCTCTCTCGCTCTCTCTGGCTCTCTCTCACACGCTCTCTCTCACACACTGTCTTCTTCCCTCCCTCCCTGCTTCCCTCTCTCCCTCCCTTGCTCTCCCCCCTCTTTCTCCCCCTCTCCCTCTCTCCCAGTGCTCCTCCTCTATTCAAGCCGCCATTACTAAAGTACTCTTGACACGTGACTCTCAGTCTTTCCTGGACATTGAAGCCAATGAATAAAATCCTCATGTCCACTCAAGACCCACCAGAGAACATCTCCAGGCTAGGGCCCAGAGTGGCGCGTCTGCAGCCCTCGTGGGGGCATAACTGGCACTGAGGACTGGGTCTTTCCAGTTCACTGAGACGGAGACTCTTCATACGCAGGAGTCCCCACCACTTGCTCTCCTGACTCACACCCCCACTAGGATCATGTGTTAGCCTCACCCTTGACGCTTTTTGGGCATGATTTCTAGAAGGGACGCACACACTAAGAGCAGGCCTGCCCTCAGTGCCCGGCAGTCACCATCACTCAACACCGCTCTGGAAATGAGCACACCCACACTCTAGCACCTCCAAACTCTGACCACTTCTCTAAATCCCCTAGGGCTTCTTAAACTCACCCAATAACAAACTCCACCCCAGTGAAAATCCTCACCCTGCCCTGTACTATAAAGGACCCCGCTCACTCCTCTTACTATTGATTGCTTTATTGCATTTTTGTTCTGCCTGCTTTTTAAAATAATTACGGTAGATCCCACTGCTATTAGGTATTCCAGTTGCAATTAACTGAGTGACTACATGCAACTTCCAAATATGACTGGCATAGTTTTACTGTGAAATGTGTAAAAAGCTTATTATTTTTATCCCACAATAAAATTTTAAGGTAAATATGCATTTTTAGTTAGGGTTTAAAACAATTCTTGAAATACTGGAAGTCTCCTCCCCCTCCCGCCCCCACGCCAATAACTATATTATTTTACTCCAAGTTAAGAGATATGAAGCCATTCTTGTCTTCCACCTGATTCTTATTTCATCAGTCTGGCTGTGCCTGTAATGCAAGTCACAAATGAGCAGATGTCTGGCCAAGACTGATACCACACAACAGCACTGAAAAATCTCTGTCACCAAGGCAGCCCTTCCTAACGGGAGTCTATCAATACCCTGATTCATCGCTGTCTCCCTTCTTGCCTCTCCTTCCACTGACGGAACTGATCCACAAATCTATTACTTCTCAATGGCCTTGAAGGCATACTGACAACGTATGCACCCCACATGAAGGTCACACGTTAGCCGTGGTTCTCCACAGCACTGCACGCCCGATGGTGGCCCGGCCTTCGCACTGAGCCCACTCACCCAGATGTTCCCGTCCTGATGATAAGGCTTCCAGTTCCTGCCAGTGTCACTGTAGAGAAGCCGGTACTGTGTCACCCAGTCGGAGCTGCTGTACCTTCCCTGGGTGGCAATGGCGCTCATCTGCTTCCGACTGCCAAAGTCCACCTGGAGCCACTGGTAGTGGTCACTGTCTGAGGGGGACCAGCCACCCGCACCTGGAGGGCAAAGACACAAAGGGAAAGTGGATGTAAGTCCAGTGTGTGCACTGGAGGACGGCAGCCCGGCGCTGTGACGGGCCTGGCAGTGCTGTATTTCACAGGTCTGTTATGAGATGTCCTTACAGACACTGCTGGACTCCAACTAATATCCTTCCAGCTGGGTAACACTGGTACTTTCACCTCTTTATGGAGTAATTATGCATTTATTTTCTCATGAGCAAATGTCTTCATAATTCCTCAATTAAATCTTATTAGTACCTGTCAAAGTCTAATTGGCTGAGGGTTGATCAATTCACTATGAATTCTTCAGCTGAAATCACCAGTAAAATGATGTAGTAGTGACCTGTTCATTCTACTTTCTTTATGCAAAGTTCACCTTCAAGTAAATTACAAGTAAAACTAAAGAAAAATATATCTGGCTTTTCAAAAGTCCAGAGTTAAAGACTAGTCCTCAGGATGCGGACAGGCCGTGCCCTCAGCTCCTGTCCTCAGAGGACGGCGGGAGCAGGGAGGTGAGGTGGGTGCTCACTGAAGCTTGGCGGAGGTACAGTGAATGTCACCTCACAGACACACCTCCAGACGCATGGAGTGAACTCCTAAACAAGTGGAACTTCTCTCAGGTCAATGCAGTAACTGAGTGGGAAACAGTGAGATTAGGAAAATGACACTTCCACAGAGCACACAACCAACCCGGGTCATTTCCCATCCTGAGGTTTGGAAGGACAGGACAGCCCTGCCAGCAGGTTCCCAGGGCTGTAACTGAGGGACGGCAGGTTGCCACAGCCTTGGCTGGTACAGCCTGCTGGACACTCAGATCTGCAAACATGGCACCATCAAGATGCTTTAATACAGAATAAAAGCATTCTTAATTTGCTGTAATATTTAAAATTCCCATGCTACACAGACAGACATCACAGAAAATATGGCAGCTTAGTGCTGAACGCTGACATGTATTTGTGTGTATCTGACTTTAGTTACTGAGAAAAAATGAGAAAAAAATTCAATAAATTATCTGATATACAGTAGATTAAAATATATGCATCTCTTTTAAAGCAAGACATTTACAACCTGAGAACAAAACAGTTCATTCTATAAAAATGACTATGATGAAAATAATTTTGCAAATCAGCAGAGACATCGTCTGTTGTGCTGTATTCACACGACTTATTTCTGTTGCCGGAAATAAGCTATAACAGCTCTCCACTCACACGTGATTAGAAAGCACGTGAAATGACAGTTTCCAGAGACTGGACATTGGACCGTGCTGGACAGCTCCCTGCGCTGCCTGTGGAAGCAGAGTCCAAACAAAACAGAAATCTCAAAGCTGCAGGGAACTGGGACAGGGCTGCTCCCAGAGTCCAGGGGATGTGGGTGCCAGAGGGATGCTAAGCTGTGTGTCTGCTGACCAGGCCTCCACAGATCATATGTGTTGAGAGGAAAACTTAGAACAATAAATGCCTAAACTATAAAAGGAAGAGAGGCTCTCTTTACCGTTGTCAAACTGAAAAAAAAAAATTTTAAAAAGCACAAAAACATACTTGAAGCTAGAAGGGAAAAAAATAATGCAGATTGGAGCAGAAAGAAGAAAGTCAACAAAATTTACAAAACACTTGATAGGCTGAATAAAGAAGCCAAAGTGTACATAATGAAAATATAAAATGGAAACAGAAATATTATATATAACTGCTTGAGCCAAGAGCAAAAAGATCCTAGCAGAACTGTGTTCCAGTAAATAAATTCAGTGTAACACATGGGACAAGTTCCCAGGACATCTACTCTCTCAAGTTGACACGAAAGGAGGAAACACTTAGCAGTTCTGTAACAAGCCAAGTTACTGAAACAGTAACAGAAAGCTTCCCCACCAAGTAAGTCCATTCGAGAGCTCGACTGTCCTGCAATAAACACCACAGATGACACCGTTCCATCTGCCACATTTGGACTGAGCAAAACCAGGAAAAGAACACAGAAGCCGAGCGCAGGCTATAGAGATGCCTCCTTCCAGACACAGATCCTTGTAAGGACAAGAGCTGAAATCACTGAGATAGAAATCAGAAAAAAACAATTGAAACCATCAATAAGATCAGGAGCTGGTTTTTCAAAACAGTCAATAAGATTGATAAAACATTGGCAAATTTAACAAAAGAAAAGACACAGATAATACAGGTGACATCACAACAGAAACAGAAGAAATTAAATTGATGATATTGGAATACTATGAAAAACTATACTCTGATAAATATGCAAACCTAAAGGAAATGGACAAATTCCTTGAAACTCCTGCCCTACCCAGACTGACTTGGACAGATACAGAATATTTGAACAGACTCATCACAACAGAAGAAATTGAATAGATCCTAAAGGCTTCCCCACAAAAAAATCCTGGACCAGATGGCTTCACTGCAGAATTCTACAAAACATCAGAGAAGCTCTATCACCAATTCTACTTAAATTATTTTAAAATACCAAAAAAGAAGGGACACTTCTAGAATTACTCTATGAATCAAGCATCAACAGGTGAAGATGTTGTTGTTGCTATATGCCGTTGAGTTGCTTGCAACTCATAGTGACCCTATGTAAAACAGCTCTGAACCCTGCTCTATTCTGAGGCAACCTTATCTTCTCTAACACACCTACTCCCATTATCCCAGTTACTGAGTCAATCTATCTCATCGAGACTCTTACTCCCTTGTTTTGTCTCTCCTCCCTCCCAAGCATGATGTCCTTCTCCAAGGCCTGGTCCTTCCTTGCACCATGTCAGAAGTATATTAGATGAAGCTTCAGAATCCTTGACTCCAAGGAGCAGTCTGGTTTAATCCTCTCCAGGATGAACTTGTTTGTTCTTCTAATATGGCATATTGAATACCCTTCTCCAACACCACAGCTCAAAGGCATCAATTCTTCTATCATCCCTAGTCATTGTCCAGCTTTCTGATGCATAGCAACTGATTTCAAAGTCCATGGCCTCGATCAGGTGCATCTTAATCTCCAGACTGATACTACTGTTCTTCAATACTCTGGTGATGTACCCAGCAGCAGACTTTCTCAATGCAATTCATCTTTTCATTTCCTGGCTGCTGGTACCAACAGTGTTGATTGTGAAGCTAGCCAAATGAAAGCTGTTAACAATCTCAATCTCTTCACTGTTACCAAAAAAGAAAACGACATAACAACATTTCTCATGAAAATAGATACAACAATCCTGAAAAAAATCCTGGCCAATAGAATCCAACAGTGTATAAAAAAGTAATTCATTATAGCCAAGTGTAATCCATAACAGGTATGCAAGGGTGGTGGTTAAACACAAGAAAAACAATCAACATAATTCAGCACATGAACAAACAAATGATGAGAACCACATGATCCTAGAAATTGATGCAGAAAAAGCCTTTGACAAAATTCAACACCACTTCCTGGTCAAAACACTAAGCAAAATAGGAATACAAGGGAATTTCCTCAAAATAGTGAAACGTATACATGCAAAACCAAGAGCCAATATCATTCTCAACGGGGAAGAGTAAAAGCATTCTCCTTGCAAACAGAGACAAGAGAAGGATGCCCACTGTCAACACTTCTATTCAGTATTGTTCTGGAAATGCCTGCTAGGGCAATATGGTAAGAGAAGGAAATAAAAGAAAGGTATCCAGATCAGGAAAGAGATAGTTAAACTGTCACTTCATGCAGATGACATGACAGCATACACACAAAACTCCACTTGGAGGCAAGGATTTTGAAGCTCCGTCTCACATACTCTGTGCATGTTGCCAGGAGGGCCCCGTCACTGGAGAGGAACATCTAGCTCAGGAGGGCGGAGGGACAGTGCAGGAGAGGAAGACCCCAGATGATACGGATTGGCACATGGCGTGATGCGGGCAGGTGTGTCAGGGACAGGGAGATTGGCTCAGGATAAAGCAGGGTTCAGAGGTATTATGCCTAACACGGTCTCTATGAGTCACATCGACTCAATGGCACACAACAACAACAAAACAACATATATTAATTTAATTCATGAGCTTAGTTGTTATTGTTATGTGTCGTTGAGTAGCTTGCGACTCACAGAGACCGTATGTGCAACAGGCAAATAATTATAATGTGAAAAGACAGCAAACTCTGCCCATTTGATTTTTGGTGAGATTTTAGCCAATTCCCTCTGTATATCTTGCTTTTACTATAGATTGTCTATACTGGAGATTCAATTTCCTACTGTTTCTGATTTTTTGCTGCTTTTTATTCTTCAGTAAGGAGGTAATTATCATATAGCTAATTAACCTTGTATATCTCATTAAGTTTTTAAGAGAATATATTTGGATTTTTAAGAGAAGAAGAGAAATTTACCAGCTCTAACAATGTAAGGACAAACTCCTTAGCAAGGGCATGTGGGGAGGACAGTGGTTCACCTCTGTGGCCACCAGGGTCATGAGACTAAATGAAGCCCCTGTGGTCCCCACAGGATGGAGCAGCTGTTCCATGGGCTTCTGGGCAGAAGTCTTTGTAGGAGCAGGCTCCGGTGCCTTACTCCTTGTGGGGGCTGGTGGATTGGAACTCCTGACCTTTCAGAGCACAGATGCCAAGGATTCATGAGGAACATGCTGAGAGGAATAATAACACGTCTGCACTTGACTTTGATCTATGAGGCAGTGTGACTGCGGAAGCTGACGACTTTGTTCATTTGGCTCATGAAATGCGTGACCTCTATTAAACTGAGGATTTACAGTGACTCTCTTTCATCACGTAAAGCTCTAGAAAGCCTTTTATGAGAAGGGAAAGTGCCCCCAGTATACACTGTGGTGTGTCTGAGAGAGCAACAGTACTTCCTAACACATCTCAGGAACTCAAAGGACACGCGGGGAGGAGGCAGAGACACTAGACAGCCAAGCGCCCAGTTCTAGAAGACTTAGGAGAAGTCTCACTTTGAATGAGGGACGATCAACAATGCCTAGTAACCACGTAGCCAGCCTGCAGTGTGTGGCCCTGACCCACCTCCCACCACACAGCAGCCA